CTAGACCCTCTGTGTAGTTTCTGTGTTTGAATTCTACTAGACCCTCTGTGTAGTTTCTGTGTTTGAATTCTACTAGACCATCTGTGTAGTTTCTGTGTTGAACTTTACTAGACCCTCTGTGTAGTTTCTATGTTTGAACTCTAATAGACCCTCTGTGTAATTTCTGTGTTTGAACTCTACTAAAGCTTCTGTGTTTGAACTTTACTAGACCTTCTGTGTAGTTGCTATGTTTGAACTGTGTATTTGTTTATGATGTATGTTGTTATTTTAAATCCCTTGTATGATATGAAGGTGACGTTATTAGTTTTTTATTTTCACTAGTAAGATAAATGATGTTGCGTATTAATCAGTTATAAGTACGCAACATGTACTTATAATTTACTGTGGCAACATTTTTATGAGATTCCAATGTATTCTTATTATTTCAGGAGAATAAAAAGTAATGTACTTACTTGTATACTTGCAGTGTAAACAGGATTGTGGAAATTTACTTCGTTAGGTGTTGCTTATTAGCTTATATTATCCTGCTTGTTTCAGGTGGTTTTTAATTTGTTAAAATAACTGTACTCCCTGCATTGAGATGATAAAATAATTGTTTACTGACTGCTATAAATTAGGTTTGTCTGGACAGTATAATTTTGCCTTGAATGACTTTGAATGTTCAAAATATACACTAAAGTATGTGTGCTTTTCCAGGTGTATTAAGATATTAGGCTAATGCCATATTAAAATACACACACATATATATACATATGTATATATATAACAAGTTGAATACCTATCTCTGTGATGATATTATTAGTATACATGCATAATGAGTGTAGTGTGTGTAGTTTATGTGTGCGTATGTATTCCTCCCATCCAATTTTCTGTAAATGAAGTATGGATTGTAATTTGCCCACAAACCATCACGGAATGTACACTAAAGCAGTTGGAAACTTAAAACTGTTTTTCGTTAATAGAAAATTGAAACGTAAAAAATATCAAGGCTTTCTCATGTTTGTGTACAAGCACTTGTGCGGGTATTTGCTTTAGAAAAGCATAAAACGTGGAACAAACTGTGCGAGGTTGCATCAGAAACTTTGAGGGCAAACTAAACACCTTTTCATTTTGAACATACTGGCACTGATTCGTGATAAAATGTAATGCTTATGTAAGCGAATTATTAGTTAGTATGCCAATGACTAAACGTATAATTTAAACTGTAACTTTAGCATTCAGAAATGTACCTAAGAAGACGCGGTAAATAATGGTAGAAACAGAGAAATCTAATTCAAGATTATTGTTGTTTTTATATGTTCCATCAGGAAACTGCCAAGACTGGGGACCATCTGTGGGTACCGACCAGTGCCTCCGGTGACCTTTGTTATGTTGGTGAAAACGACTGCTATGTAAGTACTGGTCCAAGTTTCTCAAACAAATAATATTGTTTATATATCTCTAACGTTTCCATAAAATAATATCAACGCATCCATTGACAAATGTCACTAGACTATTCATCGTCAGTTACTTGGGGCGTTTTATTTCACATAATGTGAATGTTATCATTAAGACCATTTAACTCTTTGTATAAGTAAGCATACTAGTGACCACTAATTATATTCTCTTTATTGCATATTGGTCCCATGGAAGGTCAACGGTAAGTTTACCACGTGAAAATCTTAGGTTTAATTCCTCGCGATGGCCAGAGCCCATTGTGCAGTCTTTACGCTAAAACAACATGAACATGAATTTACCACTTTGTATTGGTGCTTTATCAACGGCACTAACCACAGTAAATATTTCTCATATACTGTCTCTTAAATATGTATAGTATAAGCTGTGAATAGAGAAACTGGAATATCATATTGGAAGCTCTTACTGTCTGGGAGACACAAAGAATTAACAGAAGAAGAAAAATGCGATAGAAAATAAAATTAGCTTAAAATTAACCAACTAAAGGACTTTATTGAAATTGACTGATTAAATAAAAACTTTTCAGCATCAGCTAAAATCATTTTATTAGAAACTGAGCCAGCTCTTACCTTATCGATATTATCAGGTATGAAATGTAGCATTTTACCAAATCGCGTATCCAACGTTTCAAGTTTTCACTGAACAAGTTACTGTTAATGTATTAGTTTTTCTCAAAGTGTGTATTGTTCGCTTCTTCAGTTATTTGTATATTTTAATTTAATAATAAAAACATTATTCTAACAATGTATTTCAAAGATGAAATACTACTAACCCACACTGTCCCAGTATATTGTTTACAAAATGCCCTTCTTTAGCGAGAGAGAAACACTAACAAATTGCTATACCTACCAGTTTTTGTTATCTATGTTTATATAATAAAAAAACTGGTTACTTATGATCTAATTAAATGACTTTAAGTTCTCCAGACGTTTTATAGGCTAAAGTGCTTTTGTTTGTTCCCAAGCCTCGTTTGACTCGGTACCAACGTGATAAACACACTCTCCAAATATATTGTTTACAGAAAGTCCTTATTTAACATGAGAGAAACACTAACAAACTGCTTTCTTTGCTTTTCATCTATTCCAATCCAAGTCTGAACCAGTACCAACGTTATAAACACCAGATGCGCCATCAAGTAGGTTTGTTTTTTGTTAAGCACAAAACTACACAATGGGCTGTCTGTGCACTTCGCATCACGGGT